TAATTTATTGCACATTTGTTGATAAACTGTTCAAGTTTATATCATCAATTACGATTTTATCGCCACAAATGAACACAAATTTGTTATAATTTATTATTAAAGAGTGCATACATAGTTGTCAAAATACTCAAACGGGTCACAATAACTGACTACGAACCTCATATTTATGTTCTAAGTATAAATTAATGCAGTAACATAAGAGTATTTTGCATTTCGTACCTACAAAACTACTGGACAGTGGTCTATAGCTCAGTAATAAAAGAATTCAATAAGTATAATACAACGTTATCAATGACTCTAATAACCTGATCAATAATAACACTAACTAGCTTTGAAAACTTCGAAGTTTTATGGCATGCACATCAAACTCCTCCGTCTGGCCTTAGAGTAAGACTACTAGTAGTAGTAGTAGTAGTACTAGGCGGGGCTCATCTTCACTTCAGCTCTCGCCTAGGGTATTTACATTTATAAATACTTTGTAATTGAAGTAAACTCGCAAAATACCTGAAAGGCTCAAACTTAGGTGATGTAAATAGACCTCCTTCTTCAATACATTGTGGTATAAAATCAATGAAAGTCATTCCACCGCCGAGAGAAGCATGTTGTCCTGTTGCTTCAGTATACGACGGAGGAAAAAACATCCCAGCGTTCTTACCTTCCTCCATCATACTTGTGTCTATTACTATTAGATAATGTCTAAAATTTTCTTGCAGATGTCGCTTTTGTACCTAATTTACACAATGTTGGGGAAATTCCTCACGTCACCTATTTTTATTGGTTTAATAGAATACACTATTTATTTTATTTCATCAGCATTTGTAAAACGTTAAAAAAAGCAATAACAAGACAACTAAGATTCTCCCGCTCTATTATATATATATATGTTAAATATTTCCTTTCTTTTTCACCAAAGGTGAAATGAAAAGAGAATCTGTGACACAGCGGCCTAACGCATTATCTGATACACGACTCATAGTTCGGCGGCCATATTGACCTAGTTCATTTTGACAAGTAAACAAACCAGCACTGGCTTTTGACAAGGTATAAGGAAGATGCTTTAAAATGTTAAATACCCATCTGTATGCCGTCAAATAACTTTGTTATGTTAAATTATTCGAAAAATTTTGTAACTTTAAGTTAACTTTATGGAATCGTTATGATAACAGAGGACTGAAGCGAAAAATTACCAGTTACACTACATTATCACCCAGTATTTATAGGCCTACTAGTCTTACATCAGTTGTGAAAAAAGTTTTGGAAAGTCTAATAAAAGATGCTTTGCAAAGTCATTTAACAAAGCTTAGAGTTTTATTGGATACTCAAAATGGTTTTACTAAGGGAAAGTCTTGCCATACAAATCTTTTGACAATCTTTGATAAGGTTACTGCTTATGTAGATGAGGATAAGAGTGTAGATTTGGTGTATCTGAATTTTCGGAGAGCACTTGACAAGGTGCGACATAAAAGGCTTGTAAATAAATATCTCTATAGTTGGATTAATGTTGCAAGTGGGGTAACTCATGATTCAGTCTTAGGGCCCTTTCCTCATTTTGATTTACATCAATGACATAGATGAAGGAATGGTCAATAACATATTTAAATTTGCAGATGATATTAAAGTCTTGGGTGTTGCTAGTTGTGAAGAGGATGCTGCTGAGCAACGGCACACTGCTTGGATGGCTTAAGAGACTGATCAACCATAACACCAAAATCTTCTTCTTTTATGACACTGATAAGGTTATTTCCATCCATATTACACTTTTAATTTAAATTATGATAACCCAAAGGCATTATCTTGCATTTATTATCTGTCATTTAATCACCCAACTCACTAAATAATCTAAATCATTTTGTAAAGTCATTACACTGTTGTCCCGTCACGTTGTGAACGTCTTATATATACAAGACTAACACATATCTAGTAAATGCTATGGCATTCTTGAAGGAACAGGATATTTCTAGAAAGGAGGTGGCGTGATACTAGTCACGTGACTTCGCTTACGCAACAGTATTTATAGTAAGGAAAGGTAAGGAGTACAAGACTGGACACAATACTCCAAGTGTAGTCTAACCAGTGACCTATATAATGAAATTATAACCTTTTTAGACTTATATTCAAAAATTACTGTAACTACAACATAAAAACACATTTGCCCAACCACTGTAATTGAACTGCAGTCAGAGAGAATATTGTTAAGCACGTGAGAAGTTCGTTGAGAATTATAGCGTTTGTTACAGAGCGACTGTTGAAATTAAGTGTATCGTAAAGTTGTATTCGGAAAGAATAAACCAGTTTTATTTAAGAAAGGACTTGTGTCGCTAAAGTTTCGTCGGAACGAAGTTAAAATTAAGTGTATCGTAAAGTTGTATTCGGAAAGAATAAACCAGTTTTATTTAAGAAAGGACTTGTGTCCCTAAAGTTTCGTCGGAACGAATTTACGGAAAATTAACTAAGGACTGGAGGCGTAACACGACCTTTATTGATTATTTGCCCGAAAGGTACTTGGAAAGCTCGAGGAACTCCATGTCATAAAGAAAGTTTTCAAGCTTTGCGCTAATGATCATTCATCGGAACATCTTCTTGAATCCTAAATATGTCGTTTCCAGATTACTGCAAAGAGTCCACGTTGTATTGATTTCATACTCTAAGAGTCATAAGTACGTAAATGTTACCAAAGACTTCCTGCATGCAGAGACGTCACTTTGGCACCACTATACGAGCTTAGGTTTTTCAAATAATAATATTAAACTGCCAGTCAAAAAAAGTAGACAGAAGACTGAACAATAATTAGTTATCACTAACATATTTTTATGCATTACTTAATTACGTTGTGCCTGTTTTGTGTTTCCTATTCAAATATGTGTATCGTTAATGCAATTTACGTTGCTTAGTTTAATAATTGTCAATAACTTGAATTTAGTATATTTCTTTGTTACCGTATTTGTATGTTCAATCTGTATATTTATAAACTGTATATATATTGAACAAATATTGTATTTTTATAGTAAGGTTTCAACACCGAAATTAGTAAAAAATGAGAGTTCATTTTTTCAGAAGGGAGAAATACCCAAAATATTAAATATAAGCTTAATAAAGTGCTGGGAGTGGTTAGATTTTGTTGTGTGTTTTTTCGGGGGAGGTAGATACTAAGCACCCCCCCCAAAAAAAAACTATGCTACCAGAATTTGAATTTATGACCCCTTGTCCTGTCGTTTTCACTGCTAAACATAAAAAAGTTTGATGGATCTATATTATCCATACCCTTAATAATTTTAAACACTTCAATCATATCCCTTCTAACCCTTCTCTTCTCCAGAGAAAACAAGTTTAGAGATTTAAGTCTCTCCTCATAGGACAATCACACCATCCCAGGTATCATCCTAGTGACTCTTCTCTGAATATTGTCCAACAATTAAATGTTCTTATTAAGGAAAGGAGTCCAAAACTATACACAGCACTGTTACAACAACAGAAGTCACGTGACGCTAGTAACACGTCATGAGATTCTAGAAGGATCATGACTGTTCGTGGCAACTCTAGTCTTTTCTAGGCGCCCTCTATTTTAGTATATAAGCCCGGCAAATAAAGCGGAGATGTAATAGCAGATTGAAGAGAAATATAGAGACAGATAATTGAGTCAAGTGAGTGGTAGTGACCATAAGTAAAGTGCGTGAATCGTTGTGAATTATAGTGTGTGATTAAGTAAAGTGACTTTGGAAATTCTGTGTATTGCAAAGTTGTATTGAAAAAGAATAAACTAGTTTTATTCAAGAAAGAACTTGTATCGCTGAAGTTCTTCGGAAAGAACTTTTACGGAAAATTAAAAAACGAACAGAGACGTAACAGTACTTTAAACGAGGCCTTACAAATGACTTATACAGTGAAACAATAATATCCTTTGTCTTGTATTCAATATTTCTGTAGATGCTACCCAAAATCCTATTAGCACTATTGCTAGCTACAATGCACTGTTTTGACGACTTAAGTGATTTTTCGATCACAGCACCAAGATCGTTTTCTTCAAACACAGTATTTAATGCATTCCCATTTAAATTGTAACAATGAATTGAATTGTGAAAACCCACATCCATCACCTTACATTTTGGATAGTTAAACATCATCTGCCAAGTATTGGCCCAATGCATCACATGATTTAAATCTCCCTGTAAGTCTGCATCATTTTTAATACAGTTAGCCACCCCAAAAATCTTAATGTCATCTGCAAACTTAAAAAATTTTTTAGTCCTTCCATATTCAATATCATTTATATAAATCACAAACAGCGATGGACCCATTACTTGTATTTATAACTAAGGTATCATTCTAGATATTAGCTTAAGTTACTCGATTATTATATATATCAAAACATTGAAAAATAGCTTACAACAAGAATGTACTCAATTATTTGTACACCCATCCTTCTCTTTTTCTTTTAGTAATTTGACTCGTCTTTGTTTTTTTTTTAAACTGATATAAACGCTGAGCAGTGCCGTAATGCCAAAATTGATGTTAATATTCTACAACAATGTTTAGTTAAATAATAGCATAAAAACCAAAGCTTAGTAAATCTTAGAAAAATCTTCGATATATTAATTCGATTCTAAAAATAGTATATTGGTTTTATTATGAATGTTGGCAGATAAAACCTTAATTTGATGCCTTTATTTCAAGTGTGCGAAACATTTCTAAGTATTTTGTTGTTTATGATCAATAAATCTTCCAAATTTTGTCTTCAGTCTTATATAAACAAGAGCTACACCTAAACAAGACTCGCATAGATTGTCCTTCAATAACTTTGCTAATTTTGAAATATTCTTTCAGATTTTAGTAACACTGTAGGTGCTAATTATTTACAGCTACGACAATGTATCAATAATAGAATATGTATAATAAATACCTCTTAGAATTTCCAGTAATTTTGATTACCTTTTTAATATTTTGATATATATATATATATATATTAAGGCTTTAAAAAAAAGATTACAACCAAAGTAGTTTTCACATGAGGGCGACTCATTCGCATAGATATATATTGTGTTTTATTGAATTGCTGTCGTAAGATTTATGTATTAATTAGATTTTAGGATGAAATTGTAGCATAAATTAACTTGATCTCTCTCAAATGCAGAATTCTGTGTAAGGTAATTAGTCTGTCTTTGTAACATTTGATGAATTTTTATTTTTTTTTATAATCTTCCACCTACATTTGTGAAAGAGAAAATTGTCTATTACCCCTACCTATTAATTTAATATCATGTTAAGCCTAACGTCATAACACTTACAGCAAAACAGTAAGTCTTCAAAATTCTGAAAACTTTAGCTTGACACCTCTCTCTAAAAAAAAAGACAGAAAAAAACTATAGAAATGTTGAAAAACAAGAGTTAATGAAATACCAGTATTTCATGTGTGAAAACAAATTTTTGGTTATTGAGATATTTCGACATTTCTGTATTATTTATAACTTACTTTTTACTAGTTTTAGTAGTTGGATTCAACGTGGTACTACTAACTAGGATGATATGGTAATTCGAACGTGGGTCCTTGTCTTAGCTTTTTTTTTTCTTCAGAAAATGCAACTAGTGACCACAAACCCTAACTCGAGCTTTTCAAAACTTGATAATCCCTGACACCCCTAACATAAGTTAATTCATAAATTTTAATACTAATTTAGACTCAAAATAAGTCAAGACCCCAAACTTTCAGCCACCTAGACTGTATCTATTAAGGCTAGTAAAAATGTGTTTCTTGCACGGGAGGCAAGAAACTAGTTTTTGCTAATGATATATTATGACACAGTAAATTATAAAACTTTTCACAGCCTCAGTTTCTAGCTTTTTGAATCAGTAGGAAAATGTTTCCATTCAACACTAACAGAAATATTAAATATGCTTTACAGTGCATTCAATGAGTTACTTGTTGCTGGAATTTTATTCTTTCCTTCAATTTACGTACACAGTATAAAATGGTATTTTTGTTACTGGGTGCAATTTCTTATTAATGTGATTGCATTCATGAAATGAACATTTGATGAATTTCTTTTTAACTTAAGTTTTCTTTCAGTTTAATTTTTATTGTGTTTCTCTTTACAGGTGAAACAGAATGACTCGCCATGCAAAGAACTGTACAGCAGGTGCTGTCTACACTTACCACGAAAGACAGAAAGATACAAGAGCTGGTAGCTATGGCACTCAACAGTCAAGAATTGGAAAAGATTCTGTAAAAGATTTTGACTGTTGCTGTCTGACTTTACAGCCTTGTCGCAATCCTGTGTTAACGTAAGTTTTAAGATGTTTTACCAAACGTACTCATTCATGATACATTAGAAAAATATGCATTTTGTTAGGTGTGAAAATTAAGTATTTTATGAATTCAGCACAAAATCTTTTAAATTATGACAGGAGCATGACTTAACTGTTGTGTAGAGTTTTATAAGTAGTTTTGAATGTTACTGTCTATTATAATAATACTCAGTTTTGTCTGCCCTGAAAATGCATGTGCACCTTATTAATACTATCTAAATATGCATGTGCTCATCATTTCAATAGATGCAAATAAAAAGTGTATGTAAATATACTTTAGTAGACATTTTTTACAATCATATTAAAAGCTTATCAAATTGATTAGCTTGTGGGATGACTTACCATTGGCAGTAGTGGAGGTCAGCATGTTAAAAGAATCTAAGAGGGGCATTAATGATTTCCTGAGTAAGAAAGGGTAGGTTTAAATTTTTACTTTTCTCAAGAGTGGGTGTGCAAGGACAACCCTGAAGGACCAAAAGGACCCTTGTTAACATACATTGTAATAGCAGAGAAAATGCCAAAACTTTATTTGTAGTTAATTTGAAACTATACATACTATAACTTTTAATGAAGTGCATCTTAATGAAAGTTGGCAAACTTTTAGTAAATTTTACAAGTATTTTGAACACAAAAAAATAAGATTTTTTTTTTAAAGTAATTTTACTAAAGATCTGTCTGTTAATTTATGAAGTCAGAGTCTGACTAGTCTTGAGTGCAAGGTTATTTTCATGTTAAGATTAGAAATACTTTCTTCATCCTACAATTTTCAGATTTCATTTGCATAACCTCTAAAACCTCCAAATAGAATATCAAAAGGTTTTTCATTAAAACTTTATATTTTCTCTACCCTAACACTATACAGGCTCGGTCTATTTGACCAACCTCGTAGCTACCACAAAAAAATAGTAAATATATCTGAATTCCTTTTTTTTTTTCCAGAATGACTGCAGATTGTAGCAGAAATTTTATTATTTATCCTAAATAGCCTCAGACTAGTAACAGTTTACATATGTTTTCATTTAATTGTATTATTTTATTGCTCTGTAACCCATGTATAACTACTAATAAACTTTCATAACAAAGCTATAAATCACCTGGTGAGTGCATAGCTCAAGTTAAATTAAATAAAATTTTAATTATATAATGTAGTTTGCTTGAATAACTTGTTGGGAAATTTTAATTTATTTTCACTTGTTTTCTTATCTCACCTAATTGCTTTCTAAGTTTTACAATTTACTTTTATAACAATAAATAAACAGTATACACAGAAATAAGAAATTTCATTCTTAAGTCTGGCTTTTTTTTGTTCTCAGCCCCTGATAAACTTAAACCTACTTTTTTAATGATGATGATAGTACATCAAATAATTTTAATTTATTTCAAATATACAGTAGGAACACATAATATTAACATGCAAAAAAATACAATAGCCTGAAACTATTATAACTTTCTTTCTAACTAAGCTATAAGTGGATTAAAATAATTCCTTTACCTGGTCAAGATGACTTTCGCTATAGGTTTTATTAAACTTAAAACCTGTTATGAGAATAAGCTAGTCTTGTATGGAAATCAGTAACTTGAAATCCCTTTCTGTTGGTTATAAATAATCCAATAGCAAATGTCAGAAAGAATTATTGATGTATTTTTACAGGTTATGATAAGAGGACATGGCATATGGTTGTGACTTTCTTGTTTATATCTTTGTAAAGCAAGAATGTTGGAGGCTATATGTTTAGATTGCCTTGGCAATATCTATACTATGATTGTTTAACATATACACCTGGAAAAAAGTTAAGCACCCCCAAATATTTTTCAGGATT